ACATTAAGCCGTCCACTCACCTCAAATGAGCGTGATGAAGTTCTACCCTTCTCGGTTGAACTCCGGCCAAACTCCGGTGAACTTTGACGAACTCCGGCGATAACTCCGGCGACTCCTTAAACTTTGTGAAAGCTTTTAAATCACCTTTGACAAGTGCCTAACAAGGTTTCATCATCACAAAACCCATATCAATACAAATAACCTTTAAAAGGTTATTTTCCGGCTAACCGGTCATTTTGGCCTCCAAGTCCGTTCTTGGACTTAGAACGACCTTTCAACCCCTCAATCCACACTTATCACGTGTAGAACACTCTTAAGGATACTCCATATGATATATAAGTCATATGAGAATTAAAATATGGAAGGAAAGTTGTTATGGAGCTTCTTACCTTTACTTTCAAGGGTTTTCTCCACTTTAACAACTCTTTCTTCTTCCCTAAGCTTCTTGCTTTCTTGAGCTCACTTGGCTATGGAGAAATGGTGGTTTGAGGTTCCTCTCTCTCTCTTGGGGATGCTCTGGCCGCAGGTATGAGTGAGGAAAGGGGTAAGGGTCTCTTTTTGGCTCATTCAACAAATGATAGGGAAGAGAGGTCCACCTTTGTCTCCATAAGGTGCTAATCACCTCAAATCCCATCCTCCCTCTTTCATAGAAAACGGATGGCCATCTCCTTTGGCTGCAAGAGTGTCATAATTTGTGGGTTGGCCCCCACACATGTGGGAGGTCACCCCTTTAAGCCCCGAAGTGTACAATCGGTCCCGAAAGTTGTAATTCTCGGACTATTTTAATTATATTTTATTTTATTGGGTCAAATAAAATATAACACTTACTTCCCATCATAATGGGCCTTTAGGATGACTATACATTCCCCAACTTTAATTTGGAAGTCCCCGAAATTCATTTCGGACTGTTATCCGATAAATTATCCAAAACCGGTAATTGGGCCTTATTTGACCAATCGGTCAACCCAATGCCTTTCTCATGGCCCAAAGTGAATGTCCACCACCATATAACTATCATCTATACCAAGATGAATAAAATATGCTATCTCGGGAATATCGGGTGGTCCCCGCTCCCGGTGTGGGCCCCACGTGCAATTTACTATTCACGCAAAAGAATTAACAAAAATTTACAACCTCGTAAATTCATTAACCATTTCATACGGTTCAATACATAATTTACACAAAAGTAAATATACTTGGGGACGGTGTTACACAAACTATGTATCAGATTAAACATACTGGAACTATAAAATGCAATAAGGTAAAAATTATTTACCTTACATGGATATTTAGATCCAACTAGTATAGCTTTAATTTGATACATAAGTTTAATCATGTCACTTAAAGAAAGAAAGTGATTAGTAAAATAAGTGACAAATTTTACTATGAAATTTGTACCAAATAAATTGTACCGGAAAGAACAAAATGCAATAAGGTAATCTTATTACCTTAATAGGATATTTCAAAGATCCTACCAGTACAAAATTTATTTGATACAAAATATTCTAAGTCACACATTTTACTACTTCACTACTTGAGCAGGTTCACGCACTCAGCTTCACAAGTGTAGTTGCAAGACAAGGCCAATACACGCAGAATGCAAGAGCAGAAAAGACATCAGAATAGGTGAATAGTGAAGAGTTTCAGAATAGGCATGCAGCGATAAAAAGGCCTAAGGTATGGGTGTTATCTTCGTACAAAGCAAGTGGCCTTCAAAAGACAAAACCTTATCCTGCTCCAACACAAGAAGACGCAAGTACAATACTTTGGACGTCTAGGATTAAATCCTCTTAACCAACGGAGGAGATTAATCTACTGGAGATGCCTATAAAAGTAGGCAGAAGCATGAGATCAAAAGCAAGTCATTGAGTTCAAAGCAAGAGATTCTATTATTACACTACGAATATCCAGCAAAAGAAAAAGTGCTAGAATACTCTGCTTTGACTCATGCTTCACTAAGCTCTTAGACTAGATCATAAATTGTTATATTTTTAGAGCTTAGTTCATAGTTGGAGGTCAGAAATTCCTTGTATTTTTCAAAGTGGTTGTAAACACTTAGGAGAACAGTTGTTCGGATCCTATAGTGTGGTTAGATAGATAGAGTACCTTTTGATCCCCACTGGATCGATTGAGAAAAGTCTAAGGACTGAGTAACTTTGAGTGGTGTTATACTCATTGTGAAAAACCTTCAATCTAGGCCAGAGTTGTCAAGGCTAGATTAGCACTAATTGTATTGGGCTGAATACTTTAGTGGAAATCCATCTGAAATAGGGTGGGACTGGATGTAGGAGGATTACACCACCTCTGAACCAGGATACATGGTGTGTTGATTTACTTTCATACATACAGAACACACACCAAACACATCTCACTAAAGGTTTGTAGTTTGCCAGCAGCATCCTAAGCAGTAGTCTTCATCGACTCTACTGCTTAGCCTACTGCTTAATAACTCACTCTCCTTGAGAGTGTTTTTCACTAGAAGTTGTCTTAAACTCAGAAGGTAACTCAGCAGTACACTGGTCTTCACCCTCCTGCTGAGCCCACTGCCCATCCAAACGTGTCTTTCCAAACCCCATAACAAGCCAGAACAAAAAGCCATCCAAGAGTCATCCTAGTCCTCAGCAGTTGCCTCAGCAGTAACCTGCCTACCAGCCAACTGCCAACTCAGCAGTTGCCTGCCAGTCAGCAAACTGTCTGTGCAGCAGTTGCCTGAGCAGTTACCTGCTCACCAGCCTACTGCCAATCCTACTTCCTCTCGTAACCAGTCTAAACATCATCTAAACTAGAAAGTTATCTCACACTAAGTATAAAGAGGTTAAAGACTTCCGCTGTGCATCTATTAATACTCTCAAAAGATTATAGATCAACTCATCTAGAGGGAAAACTTCATAAAGTTGAAAAAGATTTAAAAGTCTATTCACCCCCCCCCCCCCTCTAGACTTTTACCTCTATCCGGGACCATCATATATTTTGCGGATGTAACTCGCATAATTTCAAATGTAAATCAAGTGTAGTCAAGATGTAACTATTAAGAAAAATTGAAATGTAAAATCGTGTGTTACAAATTGAAATGTAACTTCAGCAAAAAAGAAATGTGTATATGGAATGTAACTTTATAATATCTACAAAGCAAACAAATAGCAGACTAATTAATAAATAAATGTTTGCTTTCTGTGGATTAATTTGCTCTAATATGAATACCCAAGGCCTATCAATTGTATTTGTATTGATTCGCTCCATATTTGTTTACTCTTTAAATGATATACCAAAGCATCAAAACAGAACCAGCCGATAGCAAAATACGGAATCCAAAGGGAAGAAGATAAATAGAAAATACAGAGTATAGGCTAAAGTTGTGATTGAAGTGATGTAATTGGTTTGCTTTCCCATCTTCGTATACATCGAACAAAGAATGAATTGCTCTATGTGAGGCTTTCCCATCTTCGTATACATCGAACGATTATGGCAGACTTGCGCCTTGCGGAGAAGAATACAGAGCAACACACTTATTTTTTTAGCATAAACGGTGCCGTATCGGACCGGCATACCATGCCCATGGTATGCCGGTTGCACGGTATAATTTGCGACAACGGTTGTATATTAATCTGAATTTTATCTATTTTTTAAGGCTTATTTAGACAATTTTTCCTTTGTTATTCGAGTTCAATTGTAACGCTCCTATGACTAAATCCCGGTTACACCCTTACAATTTAATATGAAGTGTGTTAAGAGTGTCATTTCTTGGTAAGCGGTGAATTGAAGGGACGCCTGACGGAGTCAGAGACAAAGCAGTGGAGTTTGAGAATGAGATTGAGCATGGGTGGACCCAGAAAATCCGTCTTGGGGGGTCAAAATATGTTTTGGGAGGCGAAAATTATTTTTTGAGGGGCAAAAATTATTTTTCGTGTATATACACCATAGAATTTTTTTGTTGGTGGGGCAGTTGCCCCCCTGGGTCTGTACTACGGTCCGCTCCTGAGATTGAGGTAGCGGCGATTGGCCGTGAGGCGGTCAAGCTTCAAATTCCTGGTGCAGTTCTTCAGGGTGGAGACAGGGAGGGGCTGGAGGTGATCACGGCCCCTGCAAGAAAATAAATTTTTAGTATATATTATGTATAAATACTTTTAATCTGTAGAAAGTATGTCAATATTTTACACTTTGGCCCCTACAATGTAAAATTGTTAAGAACCAGCCCCTTTAACCCTAAATGTCTGGCTCCGCCACTGGGTTCTTGAGTCGGGTTTGAGCAGCAGGCTTCATCAATTGGGTTTGTGTGGCAAAATAGTTGGCTTTCGTGGCTGGTCACAAGCGGTCTATGCAAGATTTTCATTCTTCTCCACCGTAGCCACTGGCCATGCCGCCCAGTTAGGACTGGACGTAGTACTCCCTCCGTCTCTAATAACTTTGCCAAATTTGACCGGCACGGGAATTAATAAAGTAAAAATTGTGTGGTTGAGGTTTGTGCAGAGGAGAGAGAATTAACTGGAATCACAAATTCTTTACTTAAATGGGAAAGTGGCAAAGTTATTGGGACATCCAAAAATGGAAAGTTGGCAAAGTTATAAGGGACGGAGGGAGTATATCATAATTGACCAATTTCACTAATTTAGCAAAATGAAAGAATCTAGGTTAGGTTTCCACCCCCAAACGCGGGGTAACTTGGAAAACTCATTTTCAGTAAAATATTAACCATTCCAAAGTCCAGACTCGAGAGAGCCTTTTGTGAAATTGGAACATGGAATTTTATAGATGCAAACCGTAAACTCTGTTTCTATGGGTTCAATCATTTTTCTAAGGATCGGAAGATATAAAACTCAACAACACATTAATCTTATCTAGCTTAGATGATCATTCTACCTATTTTTACATATAATTTTTTCTCTATTTTATAAATAAAATATATTTTAAAAATAGAATTTCCAGACCAGCTCCTAGACGGGCTACAATTATGTCCATGGCCCATGGGTGCCGATACGTGATCCTCAATTTTTAAGAGGTCACCACCGTTATACATTCTGGTTATTATTGTCACCATCATTATTATTCGACTTTAATGATCGGAATTAGTAAAAGTGATTGAACTCAGATTAATATGCCCTGAAACCTTTGCTGCGCAAACCGAAGCCTAAAATCACAACCCAAATTAAAGATCAGAATACTCTCCGGTGCCAGACGAAGGTAAGCACTTCAATTCCTCTGTCACTTTCTAACTCTCTTTCTTCTGGTACTGATCGTCCATATCATATGAAGTGATTTTAAGTTTTAAATCCCATGTATTTCTGACAGAGAGTAGTTTATTTAGGGTTTTGAATTGAGGAAAAACTGATGGCAATGGAAAAGCCTTCAAATCATCAAATTTCAACAGACATCCTGACCAAAGGGGCTCTTTCAAATCCAGAAATTCCCGAACATGTCATCATCCAAAACGTCCTCCTCAAGCTTCCTGTAAAGGATTTGCTGCAGTTGAAGATCATTTCCAAAGTTTGGTATGATCTGATCAGCGGTCCTGATTTGACCCGGCTATACAACTCGCATTCTCTTGCCAGTGGGATCTTAATGTTAATTTATGACCTTGAACACTGTCCTCATCTTTTCATCGAGAACGCGGTAGGAGATGCAATTTCGACGAAAATCTATCTCCGGAGTTCGGACAATGTTTTCTCAAACATTTTCCGCGGCCTTATATGTTTCTACAGCGCGACTGAGAACCAAGCATTTGTGCTCAACCTCACCACACATGAGACGATACCCCTCCCTCGTCTTCGATACCAAAGAAGATCCCTGCTGGGTTTGGGGTTTGATCACGTTGCTAACAAGTATAAGGTTGTCTATTTTGATAGTGCACAATGCAGGATTCTCACATTGGGACCGGGAATGAGAAGAAAGAATTCTTGGAGGACTGTCCCGAGTAAAGGACTGCTGCCTTCAATCCGAGGGAATTGGAATGTAGACAAACTAGATTCAGACAGCCTGATTCATATTCAAGGGCGGTTGTATTGGATAGCGACAAAGACACGCGTAATTTGTTATTTCGATCTGAACGAGGAAAGGTTTGGGACTATTCCAGTTCCACAGGAGGTTCAACAGCTCAAATGGAGCGGTAGGATTACTGAATACTGCGGGAAGTTGGGAATCGTACAGTTATCCAAATTACATGGGGAGCTATGTTTGAAGTTTTGGATATATGATGGCGGGGATGAGGCTGCGGTTGTTTGGACAGAGGAGAGTTTGGAGCTGAAGATGAGACGGGAACTTGTAATCACGAATGCACTTTGTGGAAGTGAAATCATTTTGGGGACCATGCCTAGCCTCGGCAATTCAGTTACTGATTCGTGGACTCGGAGGAGATTCATACCCAAACTCCTCGTCTGCAATAAGACGGGAGAGTGTGAGCATATTCCAACTGATGATCCTGATTATAGCTTCCCAGCCTTTTTGGGAGTTGTGGATTTAAACTTTGCTTCTTTTGGATCTTTGTTTTTCTGCACATAACTAATTATGTGGTTATTAATACTTCACCTCCTAAGCTGTAGTTAGTATCCTTGAATCAGTTTTATCTGTCTAGCAGCCAGCTTTTCCTTATGAACGAAACTTATGTAGGCCCTCAAGTAAAATCATTCAAGTTAATAGTCAGGAGTCAAAAGTGAAAATATTCAAATTAAAATAAATCATTCTACCAATTATTAATTACTTTTCCTAACCAATGTACGTTGATGCAGTTTTATTGCTCTGTACCATTTGCTATATACTATTGACGAGGAGTACAACTTTTGCAGCAGCCACAAGAGAAGCTTACCGTGTGCTTTGTTTTTTGTATGGAGTATCACATAAAATGTTTTTAATTGGAATCCAATTTTTAGTTGGACTTGTCTAGTTTGATTCATTTGAAATTAATCGGTCCGATAAATGTCTCTTTATGTGTATTTGACTATAATTTACTTTTATATAGGTAATATGATATAAAAAGCAAAATGTAAAAAAAAAAAAGGATGACACCCCATCCCTGAGGGCCCCCAACACTGACCGGATGACACGATGGGAGAATGTAAATTGGACTATAATCACAATCTGATAGATAGAGAGTGGGGTTCCGTCCCCGGTACTTGCAGAGGCCCTATGCATTTTTAGCATAGTAACCTCTCATCACAGTTACTGGGATTCGAACCTGTGACCTAACCCTTGTGGCACTCTCTCGCTACCAGTTGAGGTACGCCCACCGGTATAAAAAGCAAAATGTGTATTTAGGGGGTGTGAATCAGCGGGTCGAGTACGAGTTGAGTTTCAGTCAAATCAAAATATTTATAACTTGGTTCGAGTTGAGTCGAAAGATGTTTTCTTTTGGACTGAAATTTGCTGGCCTGGTCTGAACTGGTCTGGTCTGGTCTGGTAAATGTCTGGTCTCTGTGTTTTTTATAAATACAGAAATTAAGTCTGGTCTGGTCTGGGACTGAAAATAGTCCAAAAGAAAACATATATATTGTTTGAGTTGTATTCGAGTAATCGATTTTTATATATTCTAAAGAAATGATATACGAAGTACTTTTAAACAGAAAGTTTTATTTGTTATACGTTTAAACATGCATGTGCAATCATGAGTAATTTTTTAAACACATAAACATTGTTTTAAAAAAATTCAGCTAGTTGTCTCTTAGATAGTAGGACTCTTTTTGCTGTATTTATCTAAATCTAAGAAGAACTAAGTTCAATTAGTCTTTCATTATGCATAACACTCTTAGAACATTTTTTCAAAGGGGAAAATAATAAAAATACCCCAAACTTTGAAGGGGTATGAGGTAAACACCCGAAACTTACATATGTAATTTAAATACTCCAAACATTATATAAAAAGTTACTTTTGCTCAATTGTCATGTGTTATTTCTTTCAAAAATGTAAATTTATGGGGTTAATTGCATAATTTCAAATAGGAAATTAAAAGTGTTACAATTATATAGGTTGGGGTAACAATATTTATTCACAATGGAAGTATAGAATGTTAATTATGTCTTCTTGAATTCTAAAATATTTTATATTATGCGATTAACACCATAAATTTACAGTTTTGAAAGAAATAATACTACATTATGATGCTAAAATATTTTTTATTTAAAATTTGGGGTATTTAAATTACATATGGAAGTTTGAGGGTGTTCATCTTACACGCCTTTAAAGTTTGGGGTATTTGAATGTTTTTTTAAACATTATGCAATATGTGAATCTAATACTCCGTATATGTTTAGTAGATGATAAGTATCACTTTTATGCATGATCCAATATTATATGTGTGAATTTAAAATAACCAACACTAACTCATAATTTGCTGGTCTGGTCTGGTTTGAACTGGTCTGGTCTGGTCTGATAAGGTCTGGTTTCTTTGTATTTTTATAACTATCCATGTCTAGTCTGGTCTGGTCTAGTCTGAACTAGTCTAGTCCGGTCTGGAACAAATTACAGTCCAAGTAAAAATATCCTTATATAACTTAATTTAAGTTTGACTTAGATTGGTTGGAGTCGAGTTTGAGAATCAATCGAATTGGAATAGAATCTAGCTATGTTTAATTTGGGGAAAAAGTACAAATAGGCCCATGTACTAACAAAAAAAAGGTCAAATAAGCCTTTATTTAAGAGGCTCTGTCCAATCATCTCCATTTGGGGTGGTTCCCGGTGGAATTTTTTGATGAAATTTTTTGAGCATCGTATTCATCAAGTCTAGTTTACTCATACCAAATTTCAGCTAAAACTTCAATCAGGAAGGCATTCAAATGAATTCTTGAAAATAACTGCGCAGTTAGAAGCGCTGTTATCTTCAAGAATTCATTTGAATGTCTTCCTGATTGAAGTTTTAGCTGAAATTTGGTATGAGTAAACTAGACTTGATGAATAAGATGCTCAAAAAATTTCATAAAAAAATTGCACCGGGAACCACCCCAAATGACGACGGCCGGACAGAACCTCCTAAATAAGGACTTATTTGAATTTTTTGGTTAGTACATGGGCCTATTTGCACTTTTTCCCTTTAATTTGAGTAAGAGACTATGTAGATATCGTGGATTGGACTATTGGAGTGAAAATGTGAAATAAGCGAAGTCCAAAACTAATTATGTGCTCAAATGGAACAAAATAAGTCAACATGTAAATGTAATAAGAATTAAGAATACGTACGTATAGTCGTATATACAGTGCATGGAATCAAAGCAAAAGAAAAATAATGTGCAGAACAAAGTTGAACGGCAGCCGGCAGGCATATGGCCAATTCAACGCGAGAGCAAAATTTAGGCGGGTGAAATACTTTACGAAGAGCTATCAATCATATTGTTCATACAACCATGTAAATATGTAACTTCTACACATGCTAAACTATCTATTTTACAGCAAAAAAAACAAATTGGAACCTGATAAAAACAGAAAATAACAATCAACGGGTGAACCGTTGAACTGTTGCCCAAATAATCAACGATAAAAAATACCATTACCCAGAGCCAAAAGCCTAAACCAATTTTTATTCCAAGATGTTTAAGAATGAAGCATACAAGTATAAATAACCTACTAATGATAGACTCCAGGGATCGGAAACCCTAATTAAGCCCAAAATAAATAACTCCTAATTAGGCCCATAATAACTCTACTAAATACTCTACTAATAATAGGCCTAAACTAAAACATAACATTAACTTAATGATAATAAATAAACTATAATAACTATAATTAAGTTTATAAAAATTAATTATAATAATTATATTAAATTTTGACTTGATTAATGCTAATTAAGTTTGTTTTCTTCGGAAAAAAACTATAATGACAGTAAGTAAAAAATTGTAGAGGTTAGTAAATTTCGTATTAAAAACTGATGTGAGATAATAAAATAATTGAACATTTATGAGACTGACACCACCGGGGCATGCCCCAGGTGTTACACTAGTTATTAATAAAAAATGAAGTGATTGAATTAAAGTTTATAGTTATATAATATAAGCAATATAATACGGAGTAGATCTAAACTCAAAGCTAAACAATAAAGAATGTAAGCAAGCATATAGCCATATAGTTGCAACGTAATTAAGTCATTCATCCTAGATTGAATTGCACGTGTGACTAGATATGGCCCAACAGCTTTTAGTTAAGTTTATTTTTCCGGATTTTAAAGGCATAACACGCCTTTTAAAGTCTGAATTAATTTAGAAGTATATATATATATATATATATATATATATATATATTGCTTAAAAGGAATTGAAGTCAGATTAATACCCTGAAACCTTTGCTGCGCAAACTCCCAATTCGAAGCCTAAAATCACACCCCTATGATCAGAATTATCCGGCGCTAGACGAAAGTAAGCACTTTCTCTATTAATTTTCCAATCTCTTTGTTCTGGTAAGAGTCGAACTTATTCCTGATTGTCCATATCATATGAAGTGATTTTAAGTTTTAAATCCCATGTAATTCTGACAGAGAGTTGTTTATTTAGGGTTTTGAATTGAGGAAAAACTGATGGCAATGCAAAAGCTTTCAAATCATCAAATTTCTACAGACATCCTGACCAAAGGGGCTCTTACAAACCCAGAAATTCCGGAACATGTCATCATCCAAAACATCCTCCTCAAGCTTCCTGTAAAATTCTTGCTGCAGTTGAAGAGCGTTTCCAATGTTTGGTACAATCTGATCGGCAGTCCTGATTTCATCAGGCAATACAACTCTTATTCTCTTGCCAAGGCCAATGGGGGGCGCTTAATGTTATTTTATGACCCTCATTACTATCATCTTTTCATCAAGAACATGGAAGGAGATGTTCTTTGGAAAATCTATATCCGGAGTAGGGACAATGTTTTCTCAAACATTTTCCGCGGCCTTATATGTTTCTACAACGCGACCGAGAACCAAGCGGTTGTGCTCAACCTCACCACACATGAGACGATAACTCTCCCTCGTCTTCGATATCAAAGAAGATCCCTGCTGCGTTTGGGGTTTGATCACATTGCTAAAAAGTATAAGGTTGTCTATTTTGATAGTGCACAATGCAGGATTCTCACATTGGGAGCGGGAATAAAAGGAAAGAACTCTTGGAGGACGGTCCCGAGTAAAGGACTACTGCCTTCAATCCGAGGGAATTGGAATGTAGATAAAGTTGAATCAGACAGCCTGATTCATATTGACGGATGGTTGTATTGGATAGCGACAAAAACACACAAAATTTGTTATTTGGATCTGAATGAGGAAAGGTTTGGGACTATTCCACTTCCACAGGAGGTTCAACATCTCAAATGGAGCGGTAGGATTACAGAATACAAAGGGAAGTTGGGAATCGTACGGGTACCTAAAAATGGGGAGCTAAGTTTGGAGTTATGGATATATGATGGCGAGGGTGAGGGCTGTGAGGCTGCTGTTGTTTGGACAGTGGAGAGTTTAGAGCCGAAGATAGGACGCGATTTTGTAATCACGAACGCACTTTGTGGAAGTGAAATCATTTTGGAGATCACACCTGACCTCAGCAATTCAGTTACTGATTCGGGGAGTCGGAGGAGATTCATACCCCAACTCCTCCTCTGCAATAAGACGGGAGAGTGTGAACAAATTCCAACTGCTCTTGATACATTTGTTAGCATCCCAGCCCTTTTGGGAGTTGTGGATTTTAACTTTGCTTCTTTTGCAACTTTGTTTTTCTGCGCATAACTTATTTTGGGGTTATTACTACTTAACAAAGCTCTTTAGCACATAAACTTTGC